ATATAGTATGTTTTTCGAGCACAGGTATGGTCGTAATCGAAACTGGCTGAGGCTGCCAGGATAACTCCGGGGTGAATTGTGAGGTCCCCGGCCTCGTTCCAACGATTGTTTTTGCAATATAAGTTCCAAGCTTTCCAAAAAAAAAAGAAAAAAAAACAAACGAAAGGGGGGATTGATTGTGAGCTGTATGAGGGAGGAGGGCGATACACGGGGTAGTGTTGGTTGTTATGCTGGCGGTAATGAGTGACGATAAGATTACTCGTTGTTTCGCTTGACGGCGGCGGTAGTGCAGCAGCTTTGTTGACGGCGGGTTCAGTTTTTCTTCATTGGGGGGAAACGACCACCGGTCACTTACTGTATTTTCTTGTGATTGAGAAATGAGAGATGGACTTTCTTCTCTCTCTCTCTCCGGATATAGTAATCGAGTCTAGAGAGTGGGTAAGTAAACAACAAGATACTGTAATACGCCGCAGGCCAACTCCCAACCATCCCAGGTCTTATCGAGACCGAAGATGGCCCGGTCGGATTAGATTGATTGATTGATTGATTGATTGATTGATTGATTGATTGCTCTCCCCCGAAAAATGCGGCGATAAAGAATCCGGCCCGCTGGACTTGCAATAAAGTAATAGCGTGTATATAACCGACCGGCCGGCGGATTATATTGGATTTATATTTTCTTAGACATTCACCGTGAGGGTGTGTGGGGGGGAGATGGTATGAGGATGACGTCTGTGGAGAGGGGGGGGGGTTGACCAGATCGTCGGGGGACGAAGATTCGCACGCATTAATTACTGTTACTCTATTACGGCGATTGGTTTTGAGTTGGCGATGATTGATTAATTAGGGAGCCAGCAACAAGGCAATTACTAATTAGCGAGCGGGGAATCGGATAATTACTTGATTAAGTCATTAGTACTCGGGCGAAAAAGAATCAGATAAATAATCAATTAATTAATTCTTTGGTGAGCGATACTTAATTAATCAACCAGTGACCAAGCGCGAGGATGCAGGATGTACAGTGATAGGTTGTGGTAGTTTATCACGAGAGCTCGATGCATCTGCCGGTGCAGTGAACGGGCCGGTGGGCGGACAGCACGGGGTCGAGGCGGCCAAAGCAAAATTTGCTTGCTATACGAAAATCCGTTGGCGCTCGGTCGGGCGAGAGACTGTGGAGGAGTAAGATGGACGAGGTGACCGATGATCGTCAAGACCGAGAGACTTTCGAGGAGTAAGATGGACGGACGAGGTGGCCGATGATCGTCAAGACCGATGATCGTCAAGACCGAGAGAGTGTGGAGTAAGATGGACGTGGTGACCGATGATCGTCAAGACCGAGAGACTGT